TGGAAGTGGGGGGGATGTTGGGAGTGGAATTTGGGGAGGATCTGGGGGGAGATTATCCAGCCATGGGGAAGTGTCCTGGTCCTAGGGCAGTTCCTGAATTTGGGGAGCAGTCTGGAATTTGGGGAGGTCTCATTGGGGCAGCAGGTGGAGCTGGAAGTGGGGCCTGATGTTGGCAAAGCCGCTCTCCAGGGGTGCCGTGGGCGGCTCCTCGGGGGGTGCCAGGGGTCGCGGCCGCAGGCGCTGCAGCAGCGAGGTCAGGAACAGGAACAGCTCTGCCTGCACCAGCGCCTCCCCCAGGCACAGCCACTGCCCTGTGGGGAGGGGGCGTCAGCACCGCCCCACCACAAAGGGTCGGGGGTCCCAAAAGGGTCTGGGAGTCTCTAGAGGGTCTGGGGTCCCAAAGGGGTGAGGGTCTCTAGAGGGACTGCGGGTCCCAAAAGGGGCTGGGAGTCCAAAAGGGGCTGGGGGTTTCAGGGATTGGGGATTCCAAAAGGGCCAAGGGGATTCCAAAGGGCCTGGGGACTTTGGGGGCTATGGGATCCCAAAAGGGTCTGGGGTCCCAAGAGGGTCTGGGCTACCCCAAAAAGGGTCTGGGGGGTCCCTAAAGGGTCTGGAAGCTTTGGGATTGGGGTCCAAAAATGGTCTGGGTGTTTCAGGGGTGAGGGTCCCAAATGAGTCTGGGGTCCCTACCCCAAGGAATTTTGGGATTGTGGTAGGGTCCCACCACAAAGGAATTTGGGGATTTTTGGGATTCCAGAAGGATTTAGGACCCCACCCCAAGGATTTATGGGATTTTTGGGGTGCCCACTGGCCGAGAAGGGCACAAAGGCCTCGTTGCACTGGAACTGACCCTGCTCATCCAGGAAGTTCCCAGGGTCAAATTTTGGGGATTTTTGAAGGGGTTTGTATAGGGGTTGTATAGGACTGAGCTCAGCAAGGGGTAAATGTCTGTGCCCTATGGGGTCAGGTGTGGGGCCAGAAGGGTCATTTGGGGTCAGGTGTGGGATCAGAGGGGTCCTTTAGAGTAATTTGGGGTTATTTGTGGTGATTTGGGGTCATTGGTGTCATTTGGGGTTACTAGGGTGCAAGAGACAGTCCAAAGTTTCCCTCATCTGCCTCACAACCATTGCAAGAACAGAGACCAACACCCTGAAGAACCCAAGGGACTTTGTGCAGGGGTTCTGGCCTGGTTGAGGTGGAAGCTTGCCAGGTGATGGTTTGCAGGTGTGCTTGTTGTGCTGTCAAGGTACACTGCCTTCATTCCTGCTGCTGAGCAGGGACTTGTAAGGAGCAGCCTGTTCGGTACCTTACACCTGCTTCCCAGAGCAAGGGGTCTCATCACAATAGCCTGGGAATTTCTCCACCTCTTGGCCAGCTGCCCCTTGCTTTGAAACAGACTGTAAAAATGACTTTTGCAAGTTACTTTCTTCAAGAGAGATCTCCCCATGGAAGAAGACATGGGCGACCCCGTCTTGTCTGTTGGTAGCTATAACCTCCCCCCTTTTTCTCTTTGCATTTTGCCTCTTTATCCCTCTCTCCCTCTCTCTCTCTCTCCCTCTTCTCTATCACATAACCCATGTTGCTGGAACTAAAATAAAGGTGCATTAGTGCTGTTGTGATTTAAACTGAAATCCCTTGGTGTCTGTTTTGTAATCTGAGATCAAACGAACCTCTCACAATTTCCTCTTGTGTTAGTGGATTGTGACACTCAGCAGCGGGGGTGACCCAAGGTGCGGCTTAGAGCAAATGCTCTACAGCACAAGGATATTGATAGGCATATGATGGAGGCAAGGATGAGGAGGAGACTTCCAGTATGGGTTCCAAAGGCTTTTACTCAGCAAAAATATATACTCTGCTCAGTTTTGGGAGCTTGTCTTACAGCAGCTATAGAAACTTGCTTTAAGCAAAAAGGTGAGGAAAGAACTATAATGGACTCCTTTCAAAACCTAGTTGAAATTTTGCAAAAACAATTAGATGAAGAAAGGAATGAGATCCATCTCTTGTCAGTGGCCCGAAGAGGGGAATGCGTTAAAAATTCAAAGAATGCTTACTCACCAAAGAAACAGTGGAGAGGGAAACACCTCTCATTAATCAAATTTACCCTCAAGAAGAACTAACTGATGAAAAATTGTGGGGAGCACTGCTGTCCTAGCTTGAAACCTTTAATTAAAACAGAATATAATCATATCAATGATGAAGATCTTGATTCGCATACAACCACTAAAGAAATCCCGTACACTGCTGCTGAATTGGCTGAGCTGAAAAAGGAGTACGGGCGTCTCCCCCACGAGTCAGAGACAGAATACATATTGCATCTCTCACTGGAGGAGATCAG